TGATTGGTTAATTATCACGGGTGATCACATGTAGATCCATAAAAATTAGCCAATCATATGAATTTCTTCCTATGAACGTACGTACGTACGTATGTACACTATCGGGCATGTACTGTACGTACGAACATGCGTACGTACGTTGACAACCAGCTCGCAGAGTTCGAACCTTCCAAGTTCTTTAGTAGAAGTGTTTGGCTCTACTGATTCCCCCCGATGAGTAAAATCTGTATTACCGATAACCAGATGCCGTGATTTCGTTTTAAGAGACCCGTGACGTAATCTCGGACATCTTTCCACGCCTCGATCGAAACCTTACCATTATTAGGGTTTAGTTAGAGTAGTTTAGTTTGTATTGGCAGTGTTGTAGTGATTCTTGTATTACAGGGTAGATTTGCCTTTCACAACGTACGTACGTACGTACGTACACTATCGGTACCTGGTACGTACGTACGAGCATCTAGTTATTATTTGCCTTTTTTTAGAGTTAATAATCACAGTATTGTTTTTTGTCAAATCAAATTGTACTGTATTCTTTATTTTTTTTTACCCAAGTACCCTGCATCAACATACTTTTGTAATAATGTGGCGGGTCTATATTTCTCGCCTATCTCATTGTGTAATACTTTCATAATAGCCAAACACGTATCAAGACCAATAAAATCAGCCAATGCCAAAGGGCCCATAGGTGTATTAGTACCAAGTTTCATGGTGGTATCAATATCTTCTCGTGTTGCTATGCCCTTCAAAATAATAATAATAATCATGTATATTAACATATATTAACATATATTAACATATATTAATATATAATAACATATATTAATATATAATAACAGAAATATTATATTAATATTATTTTAATATAACATTAATTTTATATCAATATAATATTAATATAATATTAATTTTATATCAATATAATATTAATATTATATTAATATAAGTATAATTAGTATTATAATAATTAAATGATATAATTTATACCTGTTCAAGCACAATTATAGCTTCATTGATATAAGGAATCAACAATCTATTTGCGATAAATCCTGGAACATCCTGAGAATGAGTACAAGTTTTACCCATAGATACAGCTAGTTGTTTCGTAATACTTAAAGTTTCATCAGAGGTAGTTAATCCTGAAATAATTTCCACAAGTTTCATCACTGGTACAGGATTCATAAAATGCATTCCAATAACCTATAATTTATAATTTATATAATTTATAATTTATAATTTGTAATTTATAATAATTTTATAATTGTAATTTATAATAATTTTATAATTGTAATTAAAAATGTATAAAATTATAAATTATAAAATAAATAAATAAATAAATAGGTAAATAAATCAATAAATTAAATAAATCCATGAATTAAATAAATAAATACGGTAGTTAATTAATTTGAATCACTTAGAAAGTAATACCTTTTCAGGCCTTTTCGTAGCAGCAGCAATCTTTGTTATGCTAATGCTACTAGTATTTGTAGCCAAAATTGATTCCTTATTTAAAATATTATCCAAATTTTCAAATATCTTTTGTTTTAAAGCAACATTTTCGGAAACTGCCTCGATAACAAAATCAACATCTGATAATTCGGAAATATCAGTAATAGTTGTGATCCGTTGTTTTATAGAAGTGACTTGGTCTTCCGTGATACGATTCTTAGTAACATCCTTGCGAAGTAATTCGTCTATAAATTATAAAAATCCATTTTTATTTTTTATCTAATTATCTTGGTTATAGGTGTTAAGAATCTATGTATAAAGAAAGGAATTACCCACTAATTTCAATCCCTTTTTGATCTGTTCAGGGTTTGTATCAAAAACTTTAACAGGCAATTCTGAGACTTTTGCACCAACCAGAGCGATGCCCATCCCCTGTTTACATATAAAAGTATTATATAATCATTATCTATAAATTAAGTATAGCTAACAATTATAGTTAACTATTATAATTTTAGTTATAATAGTTAAAACTATTATATATATTCAATGAATACCATTTGACCGGCTCCAACAATTCCCAATCGTTTCACTTGTGTCTTAAAAAAAAAAAAAAAAAAGATTTTGTCTTGATTATTGATAAAACTAATCTCAGAAATTAAAATTAATAAAAAAAAACTAACTTACAACAGCAGATGAATGGATGTATGACTATGATTGAACAAAATGAAGCTTCAACATGAGAAAGTTTTCTTGTATTAGAATGCTCATAAAAAAAATTCAATGTAAATCACCCTGAAAAAACCAATATTATTCGCGGTACAGCATTTGCTCATATAACTGCAAAGTTGAGATACCATCAAATAGCGATAGTTATTAAATAAACGAGTCATGTTGCCCGTAGAAATAAAAATAAAAAAAAAGATTTTTATCAGATTTTGATAAGGTTTACTATTTCATGTGATTATAGATCACGATTAGTGATGCGAGTTTACATTAGACCGTATTACTGTATCAGGTATTATACGATAATACCAGTATAATACCAGTATTACCCAATATTAGAAATGGGTTAGCCAATTAAATTGCTTTATCTGCAATTCCATTAGAATAATTCTGAAAAATTCCGAATAATATTAAGCTGAGAGCATAATGGTTGTTATACGCCAAATAGACTCACACAAACTCGCGTTATAACAGAAAAAGAAAAATAAATCCGTTATTGGATGTTCCGCATCCAATAACAGC